AGAAAAATATGTTACGTTTATATATTAAATATATTTATATATGATATAAATTATATGAATATAAATATATACATGTAAATATTTTCAAAATATATGCTGTATGTGTGTGTATTTATATATACATAATAAATATACACAGTACACACACATATATTATGAAAACAAAAACTTTTATTTTGGATGCGATTAATCGTTTGACAGCACTAGTTTTTACTATAGTTTTTGATCAAAAATCTAGTCTTAGGAGACTTCTTTCAAAAACATTTTTTTAAAATCTTAATTATTCCAAACGTTTGACTGGCAGTGTTAAACAAAAGACTGACCTGCAGACTCTTTTTGCCGTAGGCTATTCCCCGTCCATAGATGGCACTGACCAGCTCAGGATCTCCCTGGTGACAGAGGACAGTTCTTTTGTGAAAAAGGGCTTATAAAAAGTTCACTATTACCACACAATCAACTTCTTGTTCAATACTACTACTCAACCTTAGTTAGGGTGTTTCTGTTGATATTAATTTAACTGTATACAACTGATATACTAATATTTCAACATAAAATGGCCTTCACAACTTTCACTTCTAGAATGCGGATATAGGATATTGCAAAAAAATAAAAGAAAATACAAGAAACTTTATATCCAACTGAGTGGATCATGAAAAGTGTCCAATAACAAGGAAACAAGATAACCAAATGATTCAGCCATGTGACCTCAAAATGTGGCTCCTCTGAGCTGCACGTGAAACAGCCTGTGGTGCGTTCACACCGTGTCAGAAATTCTTTGCAATATTACTTACTATAGCAACACTATTAACACTAAAAAGAATGTCTAATTTGAGTAATTAACAAAAAAAACACAATACAAGAAGTAATAGTAGCGCAAATGGATTTTAATAAGCTTTTTTTATTTATTTATTTTTATATATAAAGCTTATTTATTTTATTTAAGAGCTACATTAACTACATTAAACTATATTTTATATTGTTTGATTACTTTCAGATTATTCTTGCATTTTTAAGACATTAACAGTAGTCAGTTGTAGGAATAATTAAAGGGATAGTTCACCCAAAAATGAAATTCTGTCATTAATTACTCACCCTCGTGTCGTTCCAAACCCGTAAGACCTTCGTTCATCTTCGGAACACAATTTAAGATATTTTTGATGAAATCTGAGGGCTCTCTGACCCTCCCATAGACAGCAAGGTAACTACCACGTTCAAGGTCCAAAAAAGTACCAAGATGATCGACAAAGTAGTCCGTGTGACATCAGTGGTTCAACTGTAAAGTTACGAAGCTACGCGAATACTTTTTTTGCGCAAAGAAAACAAGAATAACGACTTTATTCCACATTTTCGTCTCTACTGCGTCACTTGTGGACGCGCGTTCACGACAGTATCATGACGTGAGCGTGTGGCGGCGCTGACCCAGATCCGGCGTAATGACGGAATGTCATTATGTCATTTTCACACATGAAAATGTGGAATAAAGTCGTTATTTTTGTTTTCTTTG